TAACAGTAACTTCATTGGACAACACTATTGCAATGCTTCAAATACAATACATATGGTCTTTTGATATTAGTCCATAGTCCCTGAAACTAATGATACATACGGACGTATCCACGCGCGCGCATTTATCCAAAAGTTACTTCAAGATTCGTCTGTTCACTTCAACTCCTATTATTTGAATTTGACAATGATATTCATGTAATGTTCAACAAATTAGCAACCGTACGAACATTGTTAGGTCAGTGGACAATTCCCTCAAGAATTCCGCCAAAAGGATTAAGGCTTTGAAAGATAATACTCATTAGAGTAGGGAGGATGAGTGTAAGACCACAGCACTTAGGCCACATGTGACCCATTGTACATCTTCCCGAGGAGTTGTCCTCCTAGGTCGTCGTCCATCCTGTCCTTTCCAGGAAGGTGGACAAGTCACTGGGAGAAATCTCCTTTATATCGGCAGGTGTAGGCCAAGACTCGCCGAACACATACTCTCTTATTGACGATAACTCCGGGCAATCGCATAGTACATGCCTAACAGTTTCATCTTCCTATTCACACATCCTTCGTAGAGGTGTGTCCACAAGCCCTATATTATGGAGGTGTTTCCTTAGTTGACAGTGGCCAGTCAGAATTCCTACTGTTGAGCGTAGATTTTTCCTGGTCATCGTCAGATATTTCTTCGGTGCCAGCTTCCCAGGTGATCCTGGCAAGATTGCATCCTTTGATTCCATCCCATCTCTTTAGGGATTGAGCATGGGTGTAACATTTGGCTAGTTCCGCAATTGTCGAAGTCATCCGGCCGTAGGTGCCACTGGGTCCTAAAATTCTTAGTGCAGCCGCTTCCTTGGCTGAAGAGTCGGCAATGCGATTACCTTTATTCCTGTCGTGCCCTTTTACCCATTTCAGGATAATGTTATTATCTACCGAGGCTTTGGCTAAATCTTGGTGACACTCTGGTACTAGCCCTGAGGTTACACGTTGTCTGTTCAAGGCTAATAAGGCGATTGAGATACCAGCCAGTTCTGTGTGAACCACGCTGGTATTTTTTCCCATTCCTCACTTAATCCTTAGGCTTAGAGATCTGGAGTACACTCCACATCCTGAGCCTTCTTTGGACTTTGAGCCGTCTGTATATATGCGTATTGCATTTGTAGCATCTGACTCTATGTTCTGTTTTATTTGTATTTTGTAGGGTTTATTGAACACAAACCTGGGTTTAATTGCATCACTGGTTGCCTGCAGCAGAGGTTGTGCGGTAAGCGCTTCTCACATAGGCCCAGCCTCAATTGACCCATTCCTACTTCGAGGTTTACAATAGCCGTGCGTAATCGTACCATGGCTATTAACGCAACCTCTTTAACGTACAGGTCCAGAGGGGTCAGACCGGTAATTAATTCCATTGCCGCGGTTGGTGTTGTTCTCATGGCTCCTGTGATGTTTGAACAAGCCAGTCGCTGTATTTGATATACTTTTTGGATGGCCGTTGCTTGTAGAACTTTCGGTTCCCATGCAATGGCTCCGTACATTAACATAGGTCTTATTACTGCAGTTCAGATCCAGGTGACAACACGGGGTAAAAGACCCCATGCGCGTCCCCACTGCCTTCCGACATTGCTCATAAGCCACATATGCTCTTTTTGCTCTACTCTCTAGGTGAGAGTTCCATGTTAGCTTCCTGTCGAGGATAGTACCAAGGTATTTCACCTCTTCAGAGAAGTTGTGTTTGCTTTTGAAGATCAGGGAGGCTTTGAGCCCGATAAACTTCTTTTCCTGGTGAAAAGGACCATCTCAGTCTTCTTGGGATGTTTCTATTAATTTGAACCACAGTGTGTTCACAAATTTGCCGGTCTGCAAGATAACTATGTCATCTGAATATGCAATCGTGTAGAATCCATTATTATTGAGGTGATTAATCAGGGTATCAAGAACTATGTTCCAGAGAAGGGGTGATAAGATATCAAAATAGTATCAACTGATACTTCTTGGAAAGCAAAATCTTTTTTACAATCCATCACCTCCACCCAATTTTTTGTAGGTTAATCCCAAACACTATTAGGTTATATAAAATCCTTCATTCTCCTTTGTGTGATTTATTATGTGTTTTAGACTACAGGCCTTGACTTGAGAGTGGAAAGATATTCTGCCCTCAAAAAGGAAATAAGTTACCTCCTGGCTGCACCAGCTAGTCTCCTAGATTTGTTAACAAGATGAATCGTTGAAGAACTGAGAAGCTATCGATCCAGTGTTACAGGAAAGACAATTAGAGTCGTTAATTCGACCTCCATCTTTTCTCAATAGGACTTTGTAGCAAATTCATGATGATACAAGTAATATCATTTGTAGTACTGACAAAAAAATCATTAGATCCTTCTATGCACCTTCAGGGTTCCAAAAAAGGGAAATCAAATATTATTATTTTGGAATCCAATTTTTTTTTAAATAACGTGTTATTCATCATTATGCTCATTTCTTCATTTTTACTCTATGCTATTTGAATCAAATTTGTTGAAATGGTTTATACTTAACATTACCATTATTTGTGTGAAAGATATTTTCCAGATTTGATTAATGTTCATTGCCTCTTGTTTTCTGTTGAAATTAATCATGTTTTTGAATTTTTATTGCCTTTCTATATACTCTTGGATAGTAATTTTCAGTTTTATCGAGCTGTATCTTCGAATGAGATAATGCGAGTGCCTTCTTTGTTGAAAAAATTTTCGGCTAGAGCTAAATTGTAGGTTTGTCTGAGTCGACAATTTCTCTTGTGTTCAGAGAGACGGATACCTATACTTCTTTTTGTGTTTCCAATGTAGACCGACCCGCAGTTACAAAGAATCCAGAATATCAGACAAAGACAAATCAGCTATAGCCAAATATGCTTTCAACAAAGAAAGCACTCACATTACCTCATTCGAAGATACAGTTATACTCGATAAAACTCAAAATCACTATCCATGAGTATTTAGAGAGGCAATTGAAATTCAAAAACACAGGAATAATTTCAATAGAAAAGAAGAGGCAATATTGATGAAATCTGGCTATCTGTCCTTGAAGGTACACAAACAAGGTCAGGTAATCTAATTAAGAGAAACCAAGCCACATCCCCTAATAATAATACAAAACCTAAGTCAAATACCAGCATTGTAGTGCGTTTGGAACAACAACTCGGTCACCAACTCAGGCACAGCGAGCGTTACCACATCGCCTTTGATAATGACTACTGCAGTAGTGGACGAGACGTCAGGTATAAAAACCTGCAGACCACGACCAAAAACCTGAAAAATGTTTTCACAAAATTTTCTCAGGCTGTGAGGTTACATTACCATTATTTATTATACGAAGATGCTATCACGTTATTGCTATGAAATAGTGTCTGGGTCTACACGAGTTATCAAAAGCCACAAAAAAGCAATCATTAGTCATCTTGTAATGTATATATACATTTATGCATATATTGGTATGTTCATGTTACTTTTATGTATTTCTGTTCAGTTTGTCTTGAAACTGTTCTGTTTATATACTCTCTTTGTCTCTTTAAACTTATTTGTAATTGTTAATCTAATGTTCCATATATACATTTTAATTTACAAGACTTTGCCAATAAGATGTTCAAATATTTGGGTAATAACACATATTTTGATTGAATAATTGCAATTTTATAATTTTGTTTTAATTCTGGATAGGTTTTGCTGAGATCTGCCAAAAGGGACACATGATTCCTTACATTTTAAATCAAATGATAGTGTGCCTCCATGTAAATCCAATGAAAGTATTCTTCGGTGCCTGAATTTTTCGTCATTGAAATTAAATTTCAACTCTTCAGTATTTGATAGTAGTAAATATTACTACCACTGATTTTTCAGGTTTTACATATTTTAGGTGTGCTATTAATACAGTTGTAAAATTAATTCAAGAGTAGTAGATAAGGCAATATTGTGAAATTAATTTGAGATGCTAAAGACGTAGGTACATAGAAGAAGTATCTATGGTATAAATAAGGATAACTTCGTAAGTTTAGTTTGATATTCCTCTTGAAGATGATCACTTGGTGATCGAAACACGTGTCGAGGTGTTAAAATAACGGTTTAGTGTTGAGAAAAACCTCCAGTAATATTCATTACTACACCAAAGGTTTCAAACAGTGCATCACAAGCAATAGCAAATTCAGTAATAGAAGTAGGTTCAGTAGTAGTAGTAAAGTTCAAACCTCCAGAATTAGAATATTCAGGAAAGCTATATGACAGCTGTTTCAATTTTATTGGAAATAGTATTTGAAACAAGATATCTGAAATCTTTTATTCAGAATAATAATTAACAAAAAAAATCATATCTTTTGCTAAAATAAATTAATGTTCACATTGAGTGAAAACAAATATAAAAAAACAAAACATATGGCCATAGGAAACATAATCAAGAATTGATAAATGTAAAAGTCAATCACAATCAACTAATGATTGTGATTGATTACCGTTGTCACACAAGAGTTTTTTCAATTTGGTCCTAAATATATTTAGACTTCTCAAAGTCACCATGTCATCAGGGAGTGTGTTGTATACATTCAAGCCTTTGAAAAAACTTGAATTTTGGGATGCTATTCAAGAGAACAAAATCCGGTCGGTAGGCCTTGGTCGAATGTAACCTGAAGTACCAATGAAGTACCTATGTCTTTATTTTGGAAGACTTTTATGTGTGTGTAATGACTGTGACAATTGGTATTGAAAACAAAGTCTTTTCGTGATATTTTCAATTGTGGCTATTCAAATATAAAAGTATTTTTTTTTGTAAATAGGATGGTACAGGAGTTAAAAAATAAGTAAGAAAACACTTTTTCTACACCAGAACTATTCATCATCTTCTAATGATGCTATCTTGGTATTAAAGCGTGGTTCGGGACACAGTGCTTTTGTTCTGGTGTGGGAAGAGTGTTTTCACTAGATACATTCCAACAAACTCAACATATACACATTCAAGCTCTAATTTACCAACAGGCTTATAAGGATACTCACGTATTTGCCTTGAAGATTTCTATTCCCAAAACCTGCATGACCTGCTGACAAGACTGAACTGGTACGTTATTGAAAAAATTCGTTACTAAGTCTGGCAACGTAACCAACATGTCCGTCCAAACATTGGGTTTCATGTTGATGCAAGGTATCATTTTACCTTCAACTAGTGCTTTCTGAATTTTATATGGAATGCTGCTAGCGCTACTAGTTGCTGGGGTATCAGGAAGTGATATAAGTTTGCTGTTTCGGTTCATGTTGTTTGCCATCGATCGACCATTTGTAATATTGTTTCTTTCCTCTGATGAAGCTGACTGGGATCTTGTTGCTTGATGGGCTGGTTGCTGATTGACCATTTGGGCTGACGTACTATTTACAGCATAGTTGTTCTGCAACTCTCTGTAAAAAAAATGATGATAAACCTCTCGAAATAAGTTGAGTTATTAAAAACAATTACTGGTATTTTCAGAGATAATTTAGTCTTCCTGCAGTCTCTAAGTAGAAAATGAAGTACGTATGGATATTTACAAGTAAGTTAGATTAGTTTAGGTTCTAGGAACAATATTTGCAAACATGTTGAGGAAGAATATGCCATGTAAGTATTAGACATTTATCATTATCTGAAAAAAATCGCAGTATTCTTTATGTACAGTTATCGACGATGCTCAAACGTTTCTGGTTATTTGCTAGAATTATTCTATTGAAGAAACACTTTGTGAGATTTTCACTACATAACTGTACAAAAACCCCACAAATGTTTCGCTATACAATAGCTTCTTCAGGTATGTCTATACTAACTACAGACTACTAATTCTATTATAAAATGATAGATAGATATTACTTGACGGGTCATCTCTCAATATCAGCATAAACATCAATTGCACAATGCTCTAAAGTAAAGTATGAATATGATATTCTGACACATACTGAAAGTATTCACCATTCGGAGTTCCATCTGGTTTGCTTTCTTGATAATTTGGGGAACACTGTTGGTGAAGGCCGTTTTCACCCACTCCCGAAGATGTACTGGGAGTGTTGAAATGTTCGTTCTGTTCCAAATTACTCCTGGTTGCAATGAAAAAATTAAAAATATATTTCTTTAAAACCTACCAACGAGTATTTGAATGTTTCGAGTACAAGGTCTGTTCAAAAATTAAGTAAATTAATTTTTCTCAAAAAATATTCATTCATTAATTAATTTCTATTTTTCTCCTTCAAAGTAGTTCCTCTCAGATATAATACACGTTTTTTCCCACCTAAAAGCAGTTCCGATATGCCCTTTTTGGTATGTCCTTGAGCTCTTTCAATGATTCGGTTTTTATCTCCAAAATCGTATTTTCATGGGTATCTTCAATCTTGGGAACAGCAAAACGTCGCTGGGAGGCAAATCTGGTGAATACCGTGGGTGAAGCATGATTACTGTGTTGTTTTTGTCCAAAAAAATTACGAACAAGCAATGACGAGTGAGCAGGTGCATTATCGTGATGCAAAAGCTACAATACCGGAAGTTTTCTTCGTATTGCTTCTCGCAAGCGGTGCACAACTTCAAGATAATACTCCTTATTAACTGTAAGATCATATGGCAACAACTCCTGATGCACTGCACCATGGTAATCGAAAAAAAAAACAGTGAGCAAAAGCAAAGTCCAATCGTCCCTTCCATTGGGACGATTGGACTTTGGTTTCGATGTCATAATAATATACCCATGATTCGTCACCAGTTATGACCTTTTTAAGCAAAACTGGATCGCCCTTGACAGCATTCAATAATTACTGAGCGATGCTCATGCGATGTTTTTTTTGGTCAAAATTCAATAATTTTGGAACTAATTTCGCTGCCACATGATTCATGCCCAAAATTTCAGAAAAAATTACATGATATGAGCCAACCGATATGCCGACACCCTCAGGAACTTCTCTAATAGTGAATCGACGATTCTTCATAACAATTTTCTTCGCTTTTCCAACATTTTCATCGGTTGTTGATGTGCAGGGTGTCCAGGACAAGCGTTGTCATTCACATATTCTCGCCCTTTTGTGAAGAGCTTGTACCACTCGTAATCAATCTTCTGACCCAAGAGTACATTCACCGTATGTCACTGTCACCATTTCAAGTATTTTTTAGCACTTGATTACATTTTCAACACAAAATTTGATGCAAATTTTTTGATCCATATTTTTTTTCGATAGCAAAAAATCGACAAACACGCAAAACACTTCTAACTTTTATGGCTATCACCAACAAACTAAATATGCTAAACAGCTGAAACTGTGAACATATGTTCGAGACGAGTGTACCAACGTAAAAAAATTAAAACATCGCTAATCGAATGTATGTAGCCTGCGAAATTTGAACTTTTACCTTATTTTTTGAACAGATCTCGTATACTAGAAAATTAGGTGTCAAAAAATGAACACATTTCAAACATATCATTCATTAAGAGAATAAAATCTTGATTGATGATGATAACATATTCTATTGTGCACAAAACAAATCATAATTAGAAAGCTCAATTAATTAGAAAGCCCAATCAATGCATCACTTTTGGTCAATTATTCCAATGTTTCATGCAGGAACAATTAAATGAAAATATCATTCAGATCTTTTGTTTTGTAGGTTAGGTATTTCATGAATATGAAGTAAAATTTCGTCGATCCAATTTATTTTTAGAAATTAATTCACCTGTCAAAAACATTTTTATTCTATATAAGGTGTGAATTTCACTGAAAAAATATTTACTAACTAGGAGGTAGGATGTAGAACAGAATATAGACAAGGTGAAGGCGGTAAGAGTCATCAATATATTCTATTGATTTAAGAGTTGACAATCCTGAGATGTGTTATCTAGATTACTTAATCTTTTGAAAATCATTCATATATTCAATTTCATTTCCTCCCTTGTTGAGTTTTTCAATGTATAATTCAACTTATCACAATACTATTTACTCACTAGACACCACATACTTGTCTAGACATCTAACAAAATAAGATTGTAATGTAACAAAGCGAAAGAACAAATAGCTTGTCTCCTTTTATGAAGTGAGGTAATTATCATAAGATGTAGGCAATTTATGACCAACTGAAATTAAGTCCAGAAGAATATGACAAATATCAACAAAGATCTTGTACAAACTAGTACAGGTAACAAGATTGTTAGAATGTGAAAAAAAGTCTATGAGGTTTTTCTGTAGAAAGGAAGAAATTAACAAGTGGAACGGATCCCTGGGAGAGAAAAACTAGTCATTACTACCATAGAGGCACTAGAAATGCTGCAGTTACTGTGAAAAGGTCAGTTTCCACTGTATACTATCACATATAAAAAATGAAAGATAACGTGTAAGGAGTGAGGACTGATGATATGTTCTTGACAAGCAGGGAGGTGAGACAGGTAACAAAAATGAATATGTATTCCATTTCCAAGGATGAAAAAAGTAATCTGAGAAGCCCTAGGAACCTGAGAAATCCAATGAAATGAAAACAGATATGACCTACGTCTAGAAAAAGGTCTTCTGGTTATTTTATCAAAATAAGTATTACTACTGTCCAATATTATAATACATATGTATATTACTGAATATTTGTTTATCCCACCTCCACCATTCCTAATCAATTCATGAAGAAATGAATCACAGTTTGTCATACATTTCATTTGTAAAATATAATTGGTTTATTGGCGACAAAAGCTTTGCAAAACCCTGTAAGTTGAATTTACAGAAATTGAAAACATATATTTGTGTATTATTATACAAAAAACTTTGTTTTATTTTCTAATTATTTTTACCATTTCCCCAAAATGTCAATTAAAATGATATTTCGAAAACCCTCCTATAAGCGTCAATTTTCAACAGATTTTTGAAAGTGAGTGTAATGATGCTTAAATACCTCAAATAGTTGATTTTTTTGTTATATTTTCGACATTTGAAGGGCTGTTTTACGAAAATACATAAGACTGACAAATTTTGACTTCCGATCAGTTATCAACTAGCAAAAGTGTGTTAGTTACACAACAACATTTTTTCTGATTTTAAAAAGCGTTCGAATTTTATAAAGATATTTTCCAAACAAATTGATAGAAACAGACCACCCAACTACCTTGTTTTAGGTTACCCAGAAGATCTAAATGGTCTTCCATGTATGTACAGTAAGGAAACATCGTCTGCAGTCTATCTAAATAAAATTTATTATAATAATATTCATTAAATTCACCAAATGCCCCAGCGTACCTTGTTGCCTGAGGTCCCTCATATCGAGATATTCCTCCATTCATATGAAGAAGTGGTGGTGGATAATTCGACTGTGATGCTTGATGATAATTATTTTGATTCATATTTGGCTCGATGACCATGTAGCTTCCAGCTGCGTTATTTTGAGCATTGTATTGCGCCATCCTGAAAAATCAAGAGGAACCATTTCAGTGATATCCAATTAGAAATCTGTTAGTTTTGGAGAACGGTAGACCTCCCACGACAAATTTGACAGATACCCTGACTGTCATAAAGGAATATATGACGAAAACGAACTCCCTGAACTCCTGAAGTGATTACCTCCAACCTAGATATATGCTTGTTGACATATTATTAACCAATAACACCTGAATTGTGTTCTCGCATACTGTACTGGGAAAAAAGTCGAAAATTATAAAGCAGACAATCAAAAGGAGACATATAAAATTTAAAAAAAATAATATCACATGGTATATGGTATATACTGTTCACGATTACCCTTTTTAGAACAATTCTGTTTGAAAGGCAATAACTTCGTCAATGCACACAATGCACAGTTCAAACTCAAAAACAGAGAAAGTAAGCCATTTTTAAGAATATATGAAGCACCATACCTTATTACCTCCTCAAATGCCCTACCAGCTTTTCAACAGTGGGACGGGAGTGGGTATGAAGAAGAAAGGAGTAAATTAATTTGCGAATCTTTTACTGATGAAAGTTATGGGAAAGAGAGCGTCGGCAAATATAAAGAAAGACAGTTTTTAAAGAAAAATTAAAGAAAAATTGTAACGAAGATTGTCAGTTCTAACGTCCGTGACCAATCTACAAAATTTGATTTCTTCACAAGGAAAAATAAATTATATTAAGATGAAGGATTTTGTCACAATGATTTTCTTGTTGTCTAATTCGACGGATGAATTATCTACCCTCGAGTATGCATGTCATCGGTTTACAGTTGTTTGAAGGTAGCAAAGGTTTTGAAATTTCAATTACAATACACTAAACTAAGTAAAAGTACTTTATAGCTAGGTGAACTGGGTAACGCCGTAGCGCTGACAGTTTTGGTAATGCTATTCCTGTGACGTCAATGCGTCCCGTTCAAACCCAAATAAACGATAAAAAGGAACAATATTACCTTCTTTGAGACATGAGGCTAACGATCATCCGCTTTTATGTCGCTACTAACAGTGGTGAGTCATCTAGGTGTCCGAGAAGTGGAGATTCGCAAACCGCTATTCTCAAAGTTGGGGAGATTTTAAGGGCGTTATCAGTTAGCAACGAACATGCAAATGGAAAATGAAAGCCTAAAAATTCATACATGTCTGGACATAATTTCTTGCAAGCAAGAAGGTCGAATCAATAAAACACAAAATGTTTGTTCATACCTGAGATGGAGAGAGGCCTTTTGAGATGTCCGGGTTCTTCGACAAGGTAAACTTCAATTTGAAAGTTTCGAGTAATTCCTACATAAATCCTACGACAGCAGATAATTGATTATCTCCCTTGAGATAAATCAATTTTCGATTCAGGAATACTTCAAAACCTTCTTTAAAATCCGCAAAATTGCGATGTTTTTCCCGTGTCTGATCCAAAACCAAGAAAAGAAGGAAGAGACGTTTTCTTTTTGAAGTTTCGAAATGTCGAAATGACACGAACTGTCATAAAAGACAGATGAATTATTTAGAAAAAAAAAGATATCTTATAAATAAACTTTGTGATTTTGCCGATTCCAGCAAAGATACGAAGACTTGTTTCATATTCCTGGAATATACAGGGTCATAATAAATCGTAATACGAAATGAATTATTTTTGTTATATCTTAAGTAAACTATGAACTATGTGGAATTTTATAGACTTTCCCTATCTCCATTATAAAATCTACTGGGGGCTCACTAAAAATTGAGGTAGTGATTTCGAAACCGTAACACACCCCTCTTTCCCGAAATAAAGTTTTTGCTTCAACAAAAACTTTCATCTGAAACTCAATACTAAAAATGAAACTGAAAATATTTAGCAGTAAGAAATATGTTCCATTAAGTTGTGTCAGACTCACTAATATTGTCTTCGTCTGGCGGATGAGCTTTCAAATCTTTTGCATGCCATACTCCACTGTCTTTGCCTCTCTCGTCTGTCAGCTGATAAGCCCAAGGAGAGACGATCTGATGAACTGTATAAGATCCAACAATCTTTGGGGCTAATTTGGCAGAAAAGTGATTTTTAGCATCGGATATCACATGGTTTTTCTTCCAAACTAATTGAATCACCTTAAAACGCTCATCCTGACGACGAAGGTTATATAACTTACGACTCCTATGATGAGCCTCTATAAGACGTCTGTTGATATCTTTGAAGACTTCTTTCAAAGATTCAGATTTCATTTTGAAGTCAGTTTTTCGTTCGGGGCTATGATCTAAATCCGGCTCTGAACCCGAAATTCTGATTTCGCCTCCAAATGTTGCAAAGTTAGGGGTCACACCCGTAGCCTCATGTTTAGCGGACCGGATTGCCCATGCAACCTTTGGTAAGAATTTATTCCATTTTTATGCTTATCGGCGACATACACCGTCAACATCGTTTTAACTATCTTGTGAACTCGTTCCATAGGATTTGCTTAAGGGTGGTATATAGCAGTGGGACAATGTTTTATTTCATACTCCTTCAGTTTATCTTGGAAGACTTGACTTAAAAACTGTTTATCGTTATCAGAGATTAGACGGTTAGGAGCATCAAACAACAAAATTACTTGTTCTTCAAAAATTTTCGTAGTTCTTGCGACAGTAGCCGTACGAAGAGGAAATACCAATGTGAACTTTGTAAAACAGTCCAAGACTGAAAGAATAAATGCAGTACCCTGTGACGATCGAGGTAATGGGCCAACCATATCTACGCAAATGATCTGCCATGGTTTTGTGGTAGTAGGAGAAAGACTCAACATGTGTCTTACGGGGAGTTTTTGCTCCGGTTTATTCTGGAGGCAAACTCTACACCTTCGAATATATTTAGCAACATCATTCTTCATTTTAGGCCAGTAGTACTTTGTTGAAAAACGACCAAAGTTTTCCAAATTCCTAAATGGTCACAAGTAGGTACATCATGGTTACTTCGAATGATATCTAAACGATTTTTTTTGGTATCACTTCCAACCATCCGTTGGATTCATCAGTCAATTCAGGATATTTTGGTCGAGACCTTTTAAAAAGTGTATTTCCCGAGATTCCCCATAGTGGATATTTCACCCCGGATTTTCTCACTTAGGTGAACATATTGTTATACCAGACATCTTTAGAACTATTTACACCAATGTTTTCAACTTCTACAGTGTCCACGACCTGAACCCACCGAGACAGGGTGTCCGGTACAACATGCTCCTCCTCTTTGCGGTGAACAATGTCGAAATCATACTGCTGAAGGCGCACTGCCCATCGAGCTATACGACCAACTGGATCCTTTATATTGTAGAGCCATTTCAAACTATAGTGGTCTGTAATGACTGTAAAATGTGTTCCTTCAATATATGGTCTCAATTTCTCTATCGCGAATAAAACAGCTAGACATTCTTTTTCGGTGGTATTGTACTTTCTCTCAGTTTTTGTCAGTGAGCGACTCAGGTAACAGATCACTTTTTCGCCATCCTCGTGGTTCTGAGAAAGGACTGCACCTACACCATAATCACTGGTATCTGCTTGAATTTGAAAAGGGAGATTAAAGTTCGAACCCGTGTTAGGAATCACACGTTAAAAGGTAAGACCTCGTTAGTCCTTAGCTCGCACAAGTTTCTCAACTTCTGAGAGTTGTCGTTCGTATGGGAGCGACATCGTCCAGGTAAACAAATACAAATTGTTTTAAGTCTACATCTATTACTCGATCTATAAAACGTTGCTATGTAGCCAGAGCATTATGGAGGCCAAAGGGCATTCGTTTAAACTGGAACAAACCTCGTGTGGGAACAACATAAGCAGTAAATGATCTAGAAGACTCGGCGACAGGAATTTGCCAGTAAGCACTTTTAATATCCAAAGTACTTAAAATCTAGCATCCCTTAACTTGTCCAATGTCGACCTCACGAAGGGGATTGGATATGCATCTGGTTGACTCACTTCGTTTAATTTCTTATAGTTCACACAAAACCGGTAACGATCATCAGGTTTTTTTATGAGAACTATCGGCGATGCCCAGAGTGACGTCGATGGTTCGATTATACCATCTGCTTTAGTTCGAGGTGAACTTGTTTTGGAGAGCTGGAGACAAAGGTGACGTTGTTTTATAGGGGGCGAAGTTGTATGAATCTATCTCGTGCTCTACAATAGTTGTGTACAGCCCAAAGATTGACCCATTTCACAAAAAGTAGTTTCATGAGCTCATTCAGTTCAGCCCTCTGTTCAACCATTAAGTTATCTATAGTTTGTATAGCACTGATTTGGGAGGGTGCTAAATTATTGTTTGATCGAAATGACCATTGTCCAGAGTAAAGGTCTGGTATGACACCGAAGCGTTGACAAAAATCTATTCCCAAAATTAAAACATGTGAAATCGATGGTACCACTAAGGCTTCAACAACATGCACACGATCATGAAGCTGAATAGGAATATTTATTGTACCTACTACATCACACTTCTCTCCATTTGCTACAGTGCAAAGGTTCGAAGAAGTACTGCGTGATAAAGAACAGACATTTCTCAAAAGGCTCCAACCTGGTCCAACTATCACTGTCTTTGAACAGCCACTGTCCAAAAGACCGAGAAACTCTCTATCAAATATATTCATTTTCAAGTACGGTCTTCTGTCGTCCTTTGCATGAACCAAAATATATTACATGAGTAGAATAAGAAGTAAATTCGATCGGGTTTTGATGAGTGCGAGGTTGTGATAGATCTATGACGAACCTCGATTCACATTTTTTTGACAATATATGCAGCTTCTTGAGATAGTATTTTCCCGACCACAAGTGAAACAAAATAAGTTTCTTGTCTTCTTGCATTTCCTGAACTTATGTCCAGATTCTTTACAGTTCCAACATATACTAGGTATGACGTTACTAGGTGATCGTTCGTGAACAGCATCAGTTGTAAGTGGAGATTCAAAATCTCGTTTCTCAGACTCATGTCGAACAGCGTGGACAGGATTGTTTTGCGAATAATGACCAGCTGGTTTTTTGTACGTTAAA